GTTTTCACACACACTCATTGTAAAAAGCCGACTGGAAAACTTTATTATTGTTCTATTTAACTTTAATAGAATAATGGGACACATAATTACTGACTGCTTCTGAGCAGTTTCTGTACTCCTGAAACCTCAGCCAACCAAGAAAACTTTAAAGTGATATTTTATACTAAACCTTACATCTGCTCTGTCTGGCTAAAAAACTTAAAATTCATCCCCTATACCTCAACATGTTTTGCTATTTGTCATTCTCATGTATTACATAAAACAAGTCCAGTAGGAATAATGAAATAAATCCTCAATAGATGAACAACAAAAAACGTAAAAGTGAAAAAATGCCTGTATGAGTAGTTGAAGCATTATTATAGATGCCAAAAACCAGACCACCACAGAAGTCTATTAAGAACTGAGTCCTATGCCAGCTTTCATTAGCAAACCCTGGAGAACAACCTGGAATGGAAATGCTTCCCAGCATCTCGCTGCCGAAATGAGTGGAAGTAACTTGAGCAAACTGCCTGCTATTGCAACAGTGGCCAAAACATTGCAGCAGCTAATCAGTATTCAAGCATCCTAAAACCACATAATGCAGTCCTTTGGAGTAGATGAGCCTCAGGTAAAATGTGACAGGTGAAGAGTGACAGAAAAACAAAATTCACAGAAACACACTCAAATCTTTTTTTTTTGCTCAAGTGAATAGCTGAAGCCAATGACAGAAATATAATGTGAATATAAGGTGCTAGGAAAAAATATCAGCCATGAAATCCCAGAGAGATGTTACACATAGTATTCCTGGCTGACACTTTGACAGTGAGCTGCAAAAAAAAAAAAAACTCTCCAAACAAACACAAGCCTGTTGGACTGTGACAAACGGACCCTGATGCTTTTAGTATATTGGTATTATTTATGTAAAATTAGTCAAAAGCATGGACCAAAACACCAAAAAAAAAAGACTCACGGTTAAATAGAATAGCTCAATAAAACTGTGACTAATACAGTTAGTAAAGACCTGTTTCACTGCTTTTAAGGAAGTTGAACTGACTTTATTTAGCTGTGGTTCAGATTCAGAAAACTTGCTCCATTTGTGATAGGAATAAAATGGGGAGTAGTGCATGGGTAAGACTAGTTGTTGGTCGATCTGGATGTTGCAAGTTTGATTTCAGCAATCGTCTGCCACATGTCGACGTGGCCTTGGGCATCTGGCGAGACAATGAAAACCAGTATCTTTCATTCTGCACTTACAGAGCCAATCAGTATCGGTTTGGGCATGCTCTGTGGTGGTCTAAAAAGCATTTCATCCTCCCTTTCTTAAAATTGAGGATTTCTGAATTAAAGTTCAAATGTTATTCTATATTTGAAGATAAAAGATATCGACAACAAAGCCCCCAGAGCGTCCCCTCAAAATAGACAGATAACCTTTACGAAGAATTTTCTTATTTAGCCCTCCTCTGGACGAGCTATTTTGGCATTCTACTGTATGCCTCTGTCCTCTCTAAAGGCTGGTTCATGCTCAGAAACCAGGTCGTCTGCACGTGTCGCAGTTAATGCAGATATGCCCCCGCCCTTTCCGCAGACACTCTGCTGCACCTCTCCAAAATTGTAGGTGACCGCAGACAGGAGGCCTCTGATTGGTCAAACCTGCATCCGCTCTATACTATGCGTATTTCCTGTTTGGTACCTTACCAACTTGTTTGCTTGGTATGACGCCATTGTGGAAACCGACTAGTAAAGATGGACCAGCGAAAAGAGCGAGGTATGCGAGAAAGCTGGGATGCTTTTTTCACCTGGACCTCTGCTCTTTTTCGATCTTATGTCCCTCCGTTGTCGCACAAACTTGCCCCTTGCGCTTTTCCACCTCCTCGGCCGTATCTAGACCCACAGCGGGTTTGCGATTGTCCCTCTTGCGTTATGGCGTGGAATAACATAGTGCAGACAACGCTTCAAAATTGGGCATAAATCAAAAATATCTGCATCATACCTTCGACAAGCTCACTGCGACACACTGCTGCGGGAGTATAATCAGCCCTTAAGGCCGTGCCCCAAAAATCCACAACCGTGACAATCATTCAAAGCTGGTAGAGATAACCAAGAAGCTCAGAATAATACATTAGATGAGGGTCATAGCTTGACTGATGGGCTGCTGTAGACCACTCATGACAGCTTATATCCCCTTATGACATCATTAAGGGGAATGCTTTTCAAACAGAGCATTTTGAGCACACATTAGCTAAGAGGTGGAGAAAGGAAGTGAGAGAGGGAAACATTTTTTTTTATTTTTTATTTGTGAACCTCAGGTTTCAGGACACGTGTAACTGTTACGGTTTATGAAACGAATTCTGCAGAATTTGGGACCATTAACAACTTAGTTTGAGCGAACCCAGTCAGTGTTCAATCACTGCAAGCATCTTTGCATCAACACCTGTGTAAAGCACCCTCACTTGCGTCAGTGAGCCATTACAACCAACAGCATGTTAATGTGTGCATGAACTGGTGACTGAAAAAATTTAATGTAAAGTGCTTTGGGGTCCTTGAACTTGACCAGGCGCTTTAAACATTGAGGCCATTTCCTATTTTAGCATTGAGGCTCCATCGTAGCCCTTTGTGCGTGCTGCCCTTCCAGCATAGGCAGACGGCACACTGGGTGGCATTGCAGTAAAATAAATTACTGTACAGAAGTAGGAGAAAAAATATAGAGTTGCCTATCGAATTGATGGATAAGCATATCTGCATAAGAAATAAACTTTACAAACCACAGAATTTATTAAAGGGAAAAAGATGACAGGGTAAAAGATGTTTGGAAGCAGGGAAACTGCAAAATGAGGAAAAAGTATTCCTTAAAAATCAGCAAATGCCTACATATTTGCAGAAACTGAAAAAAAAATCTGATATGACCAGTGTTTTAATGCTTTAAATCCCAAAGTAAAAAAGGGAAACATGATCAAAGACTTAGCTGCAGAAGCAGGTGATCCGATCCTAGTGAGTGCAACATTTGAAAAGAAAGGTTTAGGACATTCATCTATACCAAAGCCAAGTATGTACTAAAACAGCTCCCCTACTAAATGAGATCCCCTAGAGCCAGTGGTACAGCTCATGGAAAACATAATTACATCCTGAGGAGCTAATTTATCCATTTGAATCTCTGCACTGGAGCAGAAACACACCTAAAAAGTAGCACACCCTACATGGAATGGGATTCCACGTAAGAGAAAGGTAACACCATCACATCTCAAGCTCGATGGAGTCTCATGTTTCAGATGGGCCTCCACTTCAGCACGATTTAAATGATCAGTAAGAGACTTCTGTAGAGTTTAATGACTTGCTTACAAATGAAATGTTACCATTTGACTTACACATAGTAGAGCAGGGATATTATATGTAACATGTAGGAAGTAGTACTTTACTGGGATTGGACATCCCACTTGGCTCATGGGTACAGCCCTGTTTAACCTTTGAAGAACTTCAAGGTCTTTTTCTTAAACTACTATTGGCTGCAGTCAGATGGCCTCTAGCACACAGCAAGGTGTCAGGCTACCTGCTGGGCGATGGGGAAATGCTAGGCTCTGATGGGCACTTGGAGCAAACTCATTGGGGGAGATGGTAATGCCCCCCTTCTCTAATTGGTCATAAATTCTGGTTACTGTTATGGGCTGCTGCCCATGATGTTGAAGGTTCTGCTTGAAACTGTTTAAGTAAAATTTATAATTTATAAACCAAAGATACTTCCAAGAAGAATGCTATTAAGACATATGTAAACCCAAGATAAACCTTAAACACAAACATTTTTACCATTATAAAATAAATCCCACCACACAGCTCACATTTGTAAGTTTATTTCATAAGTATTATGCTAACAAAGTCATTCAACAAAAGAAAAGAGTAAAACAATTTTTTGTAAAACAAATTTCTACAAGAACCAAAAACTGTTTCAGATGCTTTTCAGATCAACAGTTGATGAATAAACATGTTAGCAAAAATACTTTCTGGTATATTTTGGCAAAAGCTTGGTTAGGAAGTTAACGTGGAAAAACATTAGTTTAAAGGTTGTGCTTTGTGTAAAGTAAGAGCAACCTCAGGACTAAGACGTATTTCATCATTGTGCTGTTTTAGGCTCATTTCTCAAACAGGAATCTTGTTTTCTCACTGATGCAGTGACCATGACCACAGCGGTAAACTGAATCTCTTAAGACTATAAAACACTGAAACATTTCATTAGATACAGATTTCTTCACAGTTTCAAGCATCAAAGCAATGGAAATAGCGCAAAGGACATTTATAAATCATTAGCAATGTTTTTTAAAATGACATCATATGGTCACAGGATGGAGATCATGTAATATTTACTTCTAAAAACCATAAATAGAAATGCCATGTATAATCTCTGTAAACAAACAAAAAAAGCTGTGAACATTAACTGACATTTTTATTATTGATTTTGAATATTTATAACTGTTCTTACTGCAAAATAGAGGATGAAAAAAAAAATCCTCGAAGAAAAGTGATGTCACCAGTTAGGTAAACAGAAACCAATAAATCAAAATTCCAGCGAGTAAAACCCTAAATAAAACCTGTAGTGTTGTTTTAAATAACTATATCATGTTAAAATATATGGTTTTGTGTAGCCTCTGTAAGTTGGTTTACAAAACAAAAGAGAGCCTAAAATTTTGTAAAATGCATTTAAAAAATATATATTCTGAAATCCTTTAGAGAGAAATTAAGACTTTAACAGAATATTGATTTGGCCCTCTGTCCTTGGTTTTAAAATAACATATTATATATATAAATATATATATATAGCATGGCTAAGAACTTAAAAAGAAAATTTAAGACGGAGTGTATCCTGATGTTACTAATCATAAAAGTGAGTCTAAAAAAAATCTGATTTGACAAGTTGTTGTTCTCTTGACGCTTGCATTAAATAAACGGTGTGAAGACAGCTGAGAATAATCTTTTCACACACCACAGACAGTGGCTTCTCCAGCGATACAAAAATCTGTCATGTTTATTTTTTTCCCCGTTTGTTTCCTTCAAACTGAAGGCTGGATTTTCAAGAATAGATCAATGAATGACAGGACAGAAGTATTAAGAAAAAAAAATGTGTCTCAGCAGGTCTGATTGCAAAAAATAAAAAAGTGAACTAAAGTCATCCTAATTCTCAGGCACCATCCACATTTCACTACCATGACATTTTTCCATTTTCTCCATGCACACTTCTGCCCAGCCAGCTGTCTGCCACCTGGCTGTTCCAGACCTGTGACTTCGCCTAATGGTCGCAGAAGCCAGGCATGGGGAACGGCCTGGCAAATGCCTCCACCCGGTGCCGCAGATCCGCAATACGAGCCACCGTCTCCGGGTCCTGGAGGAGGAAGTTCTTGAAGTCCTGGAGCTTTGCTGCAATAGTGAAGAGTAAAGACAAAAAATGTGTATCTTCTTAGTTCTTTTATGTTTTATATTATTTATTAAGTACCAAAATGAATTTTTTTTTTCCTCATTTGGCTTATTCAACAAATATCTTGTCACAACAACCACTGGGTTACGGGTAAGTTTACTTCTTCTCAAATAGGCTTACCTGTCTTTTTCTTGACATCCAAAGCGATCTTGAATCCCTCATCCATAAACTCCACAACCTGCACAAAGTCGTCTTCTTTAAACTGTCTTGAAGTCAGAGCTGGAGCTCCTACGACCAAGAATACAATCATATTACCTAAATTACTTTCATTCTTTGTAATTTCTATTTTACTGTCTTTCTTCTCTACGTTACAGGGGATTTGAAGAAAATATGCCTTTTGAATTGTCAATTAATGTGAACAGACTGTGTCAATGTGTCAAAACAACACAAATTCTGACAGTTGATGTGATGCTACTGTGAAAATAGTTCAAAGATAAGGCAATATCTTCAGAATATTGCACTGCAGCTCCAAGATACTGCTTAAAAGTGGACTTTCTAAGGAAAAGGAAAAAGAAAAACCTTTGCGTTTGGTATCAGGTATTTTGGTAAGAAATTGTTCTTAGAAGACCGTTTGGTTATGTGAGTTGATAAAACTTAACACAAGACACCAGATACCAGTACTAGCCAGAAAAGACCTGACTGTTGCATACTTAATTATTCTGTAGAGATGGTAAAAAAGTAAAATTATTTTAGTCAACATCTTCAAAGCACAAAAAAAAGAAGAAAAGAATATTTGTGCATTTTTGTCCTCTTGGTTTCAGCTCATCAGATACAGCAATCCTCTATAGGTTATTTGAGCACAGCTAGAGACAGATTGGTACCTAGCCTGAGGCCTCCGGGGGTCAGGGCACTCTTGTCTCCTGGGCATGTGTTCTTATTGGCTGTGATCGAAACGAGCTCCAGTACTCTTTCAGCGCGAGCTCCATCGATGCCCTTTGGGCGCAAGTCCACCAGAACCAGGTGGTTGTCTGTTCCTCCTGAAACATTAAAATCCAACATGTTACTGACAGCTCAATGCAGAGATAAGGCAACATTTCTTTACAGAAAGCCTTTAAAACCATTCCCCTTCATTATTTAGGCCCTTAAATTAAAAGTAACCATATGCATCAAACACTGAGCTGCAGATGTTTTAATTAATGTTCAACTTCTACTAACCTTCTGGCAGATGCTTCAGTACTAAATGTTCCCAATTCATATGCCCTCTACTGAGAAATTTGTCATAAAGTGATAAATGGGTAATTCATATATTTTGATACTGAACAGCTTCCACAATCTTTTTTGCCACAAACCTTCAGAGGGTCCACACCCACCAGACAGATCATAAACACATATATCAAGCTGCCGCTGTGCACCCAGCCTCTGACAGAGGAGGGCTGGGAACTTTAAAAATCTAACTAATCACAAAAATCCAAAAAGTTTCAGTTGAAGAGGCAGGTGCAACAGACACACCTCCAACACCCAGACTGAAGATTGCATCCTTTACACATCAGGTCCAATAGGAGAAAAGTATAACTTTTCAGGCTACATGACTTTTATTTTAAAAGCAAACTATAAAATCCATACTTTTGTCAGTTTTTCAATATTTCATTTTTTTTTTTTACATGTTTTTTTTTTTTTTTTTGGTTTGTTTTAATAGTTAAGATCAAAACACCCTTTTTGGGGTATTTGTTTTCTAATTTTTAAAAGAGTCCCTTTCTTAAAACTAAATATTCATTTTCTATTTTAGAGTTTTATGGTCACAGGTAGCTGTTTGCATTTAGTTATGTAATTTGGTTAATTTTTATCTTCTCAGAAAGCAGATTGTATGCAGCTTGTACCTACAACACTCAAAAATTAATTGAATTTGTTAGATAAGACAATGAATTACTAGAATGGGCTGAATGTACATATGCAAGGTAATTATGTTTGTTAAAGGTGTTATAATGTAACAAAGGCAACTTGTAGCTCAGTTGAAGCTAGTTTGCAAGAAATCAGATAAAGCAGGCTGTGCATACCTTTTATTCAGTTTTTTAGGACTAAATGTAGAAATCCAGAAATCTGACAGCTTACATATTATTCTTTAAAAAGAAATGTCTTAAAGAACAGAAGATCTGAGTAAAAATGTCTTCATATCCTTTTCAAATGAGAACAGACTTTCAATACAATATAATAACAAAGGATGAATTGTTTCACAGTGGAGGCGCTACACTTTGGGAACTGGGAGACATTCGGGGGTCAGTGCTAGGAGAGAGCAAGCCAGCCAGTTTGGGGGTGACCTAAGTGGGCTAAAAACTAATTTATGTACACATATCCCCTTTTGCCAGCTCCAGAGACAAGAGTGCGGAAATTTCACCTGCTGAAGTCCAAGCTGTGAGCCCACGGTCTGATTACAAACTTAAGTAAAACGTTTACTGGCTTTACAGCAGCAGTTCAAGGTGGTCAGAGGTGATGAAGCTGAGGAAGTTCGCCCTAATTTCACCTTTCCAACCTCCCCATAAAGTCCATTTATGTATTGATAAATCACAAGTCAGCGAAAACCCTTCTACTTTTAGGTTCAGAGAATAAGAACTACAACAAATACTTTTTCATGAGGTCAGATTTGACTTAAATGTCATATCTGTTCTTATCTTTATCTTTGTTTTGTAAGTATTTAGATAAATTGGATGATCAGTAAAAGCTTTTTTTTTTTTTTTTTTTAACTATACGTGATTAGTTCCAACATAAATCACAATTCAGAGAATTATACGTTTTGTTCCCCCCTTTCTAAATGATCTATTTTCTTTTTTTTAACCATGTAGTTCAGTCTCACTGATTGAGTAACCAAATTAACTCCTTTGGGTGGGCTGTTACAGACTAACAGTTTGTTTTATGTGACTGATGCAAATTTCTGATACATAAATGTAATTAAGCTGTATTCTCAATCTCTAAGTTTAATGCTCCCAAGCTGGAGGCTTCATCTTTCCCTATGTGAGATGAATGATTCGGATCTAATTAGAAACTAGAAAATGGTTGTCTTTGTTTACTGTTGACCGTCACTGATTAATTAAAAAATATGAAAGCGGTAAAACCTTTTTTTCCCCCTCTCCTTTTTATTTAATTTAGCAACAACTAGCTTTAGTCATTTTTGGCAACCACGCTGACAGAGTGAGGCAAAGATAGATTAGCATGCTTCACGCTAGTACCAAGACTCCCAGCTGGCAGCTTTGGACAAACTGAGTAACAGTTCTATTTTAGCTACAGAAAACAGTCTTTTTATTGTTATTGCATTAAAATGCCAAATTACTTTAGATGCTGCAGTGTAAGCACAAAACAGGTAGATTTTTAAAAGGTATCAACTTAGGGCCATAGATCAAAAAAGAGCTGAGACCAGCATATTAAATGCTAAACAACAGTCAAGCATTTTCTCACAATCGCAGAGTGAACACGTTCATCAGACTTTATTTTCCTGACTGGCAAGGCAGCTGTACTGGCATTAGTCCATTTGCACATCATGAATTTAAATGCACCTTTGTTTTTTCCTCCTGCTGTGTAATTTGCATCTGTGTGACAGGAGGTTCTCATGAGTTTGTTCCAGTGCTGTTAGATGAATCAATGTCTTATTTGTAGGTTAAAAAAGTCAAGTGTAAAACATGCAGTATTACCTGATACCAGTGTGTAGCCTTTGCTGAGAAGAGCTCCAGCCATGGCCTTTGCATTCTTCAGTACTTGGGTAATATACTCCCTAAACATAGGAGACTGAGCCTGGACAAACAATAGAGAGGGTTAGCATTATTTGTTTGGAAAACACTTGATTTCAAGACCAGATATTTAATTGTCTCTACCAGCATTAAAGAGATAATTACAGTTCATACTGTAAATGATTAAAAAAAAACAAAGAAAGTGAGAGTTCCACATAAATCAAGGTATTTGTTTTACTTCTTGACCTGTTTGAGAGCCACTGCTACTCCAGCAATAGCGTGGTTGTGAGGTCCACCCTGCAGGGACGGGAACACTGCAAAGTTTACTTTATCTTCCAGGTCGTACATGATCTCCCTTCCTTTCTTGTCCACTGAGCGGATGCCCTTACGATAGAAGATAAGGCCAGCTCTAGAATGAACAAAATCATTCTTCAGTAAAACAATTATAAATTTAAAATTCAAAAAACTGAACTGTTGAATTATTTCTTCATTTAACATATATAAAGCATACTCTAGATTTCTTTGCAGAAGCAATCATACACGTTGAATTTCGTTTATATTTTGTTAAGTTACTATCATGAATGGTATAGTGAAGCATCTAAATCCAATGGAAAATTTGTTGACTTCAAAATAAAAGTTCCTCCAATGAGCTTGAGGTATTTTCAGAAATCAGAAGTGAGGGAAAAACATCAAGTCTCTACATTTACAAAGCAGGTAGAGGCATACCAATACAGTTTCAGCTGTAATTGAAATTAAAAATTGAAGTAGGTCAACTACAAATGCACCTTCAAACTTTGCAGATTTAGCAAAACTTTTTCTTCCACTGCACAGCTATGTGACTTTGAGTTGGACTATGACACTAATTCTAAATATAACAAATTGAAGTTGTTACATGAGAAAAATGGAAAATATAAAATAAAATAAGGTTTAGGAGCTTGAATACCTTTACAATGATATTGTACGGAATAATGAGGACCTCACCTGGATCCTCTGAGGGACTTGTGTGTGGTAGAAGTGACCAGGTCAGCGTGTTCAAAGGGAGAGGGGACTCCCTTTCCTGCCACCAGGCCACTGATATGAGCCATGTCAGCGAGCATGTAGGCGTTAATGTCTGTACATACCTGACAGGATGAAAAAGAAAACCATCTCAAACTTTTATTTATTTTTTTGATAGGACATTAATATTAAAACACAATAAATTCAGCTGTCTGTTATCAGCAGAGGGAGAGGTGTATTTCACTGAGCTGAACTTGTTGAAAGGCAACAGAAGCAGAGTCTTAACCTCTCTAAGTTTGCATTTTCCCTGCATGATTAAGAATTGATCACCAACTCGACTTCAGCAGACGTTACCCATCTTCTCAGAGAGGAGATATATATTTTAAGATGTGTAATTACACTCTAATTGGCAGTCCTAAGAGCCCTGAAATATGAAGGCAACATTCAATAAATCTAGGCTTTCAGTTGCCAGGGTTTATTATAAAAGATACAAACAATAAATAGCTTTCAAAAATATAAATGTATGTCTGGTGTTAGATCAAAAAAACCATACAGCAATACATTATTGTGCTTTAAAAAGAACGAGTCTCTTCCACTTTTATTTATACTGGATGCAATTTGGATGAAAAAAGCAGAGCTAAAGAGCTTTGCTATATAGAAAGAAGGGCCAACGGTGAAAAAAAATAAAGGTAGCATACATCCATCTGATGGTGCTAGCTAAAGTGGAGCTCTGCCACAGAGGGAACCAGACATGGTCTGATTTTAGTAAATTAGCCAGTTGGTACAACAAAAACCGTTAAAGGGCCCCCTTGTGCACCATCAAAGAGAGCAGTGAAGTGTGTTTAAAAGTTGGTGCAGTTTTTTTTGTGAGAGTGAGGCAACAAAGGATGAAAGCATCTGTGTGTGCATGAAAACTGTTTCGAAAGGTTTGAAAATAGCTAACAAAAGTGAGAACGCTTGGATTTAGAGCTATGATATTTCTAAAGCTGAATAGAAGGTATAAATATGTCTGCAAGAAGGTCCGACGGGGTCTGACCTATTGTTACAACAGACAGGTGAGTTTGACATTTTAATGAAAAGGTTGACTGAGTTTTACATTTAAGAACGAACCTCCTCTGACCTCCTTAACACAGTGAACAGTGGAGAAAACAGGTAGAGGCTAGGCAGGGTGAAAGTAGGGTGAGGTTTGAATATTAGGGAGCTTAGTTCACCTTCTTGATGCGGGCATAGTCAATGAGGCGAGCATAGGCGCTGGTGCCAGCGATGATGAGCCTGGGCCGGAACAGCTTGGCTGTCATCTCCATCTGCTCGTAGTCTATGAGTCCCGAAGCAGGCTGTGTAATAACAGGCAGGTTGAGAGGAGAGAAAAGAAATATTGAAGAAGCAAAAATGAAGAGGGAGTGGATGAAGAAAATAAGAAAATATGCAGGAGTGTAGAGGTCAGAAGGGGGGAAAAAAAACAGAAAAAAAGTTAGATGTTTGAAGATCAAGAGTGAGGATATGAACACGGAGGAGAGATTTCTCCATTTGAAGCTCATTCGAAGCAGCTGCAATTGAAGTACTTTGGGCACTTTTAAAAAGGGATGAAATGTATCTAAGAGAGACATTTACACCTATCATATCATGGAGGAAGATGGAGCAATTGCAGTAATGCACCACTACTTATCCTAATTCAGCCTTTCAGAGTTCTGCTAAACTGGTGAGATGAGGCTGAACGGATCAGGCTGGTTTTTAGATTCTCCCCGCTGCTTCTCAATGACCGCAGCAATTTAAGTAACATGCTAGTTCATTTGCACCTCTGAGGATGGAGATGAGACAGACATGAACCGACCTGTCTGTCTGCGCTAACTAAACTTTTACCCATCTAATTTTTCTCCCAGCTTTGGAGGAAAAACAACGACGCACAGCTGAATGAAGAAGAAAACAGTGGAAGACAGAAACAACAGAGAATACGGGAGCTGGAGACGGGAAAAAAGAGAGACGAAAGGAGCAGAGAAAGCTTTATTTAGACAACCTAATAATCTCCCATCTCAAGAGCACATCTATGGATGCCCTCCTCACTCCATCAAGCTGCTCATTGTGAGGACAGAGCCAGTGGTGCTGGCCAGCCTGTCGATTTCCCATTATCTCTCTCGCAGAGGGGTCCTGCCTGCCCATACATCAGCAGGTCTGGACAAGCAGACCCTCATCGCCATCCATCAGCTGCTACCAGACAATCCTGATCCATGGGTATAAAATACATTAAACATTCGGAGGAGCGATCATATCTGCTGTATAGATATCCTGTAAGGTTTCGGGGACACTGATTTTTACAGATCACAATGCAAGTAAACAAGTAGATGGATGTTTAAGATACAGGGCTTGCTACACATTTATACACACGTATGACAGATGTTTCTACACGGGAAAGGCTTTAAAGATGGGAGGTAAGGATTCAGAAACTGGTAGGAAGCAAGGAAGGAAAAGAGGAAGGAAGTGAGTCCACTAGTGAATATCATTACTAGAATCTTACAAATAATAAAATTATTGCATGCAACTTAAAGAGAACATCATTTTGTTTACTGTGTGCTTCAATCTCCCTTGCATTACTTTTGTTAAAACAGGTTATTACATTGCTTGATGTTTTTTAACTGCTGCAATTATTTTTTTTCTAAATGGCTGCACACCTTACCTTAATGTAATTCACGGTTATTTACATCAGTTCGACTGTCCAAACGCTATTATAGTAGCAGATTTCTTTGCAATTAGAGAAAACCAAACGTGCAGCACAGCCATTGCACTGACAGGGATGTACAGGGCTCAATGATAGTCCCAACATGTGTTTGCTTAATGATGCTGTATCAGTTTTTTTGTTGTTTTTTGTTCCTACACTGATACAAGAAAAAGAAATGGTCTATTCACATAAAGCAAAACATATGCTCCATTTTTACATTCTGGAAGTGCCATTGATAGGCATTTTAATAATACCGAAGTAAAGCATCAAGTGAAAATGAAAACCCAGACTAAAAAGAAAGCAGCTCTATTATGGTTCTTTGTATCCTTTAACAGAAGTTTGCCCTGAATGAATTTTGAAATACGTTTCAGCTCGATTTCAAACTGGAACAGTTCAGCTAAAGCTTTAGTGTGCTTTGAAATGTGTGCTATGATCATCTGCTTACATTTAACTTGTAAGGCATGGACTCAAAGTATATTGAGGTTGCAGAGATCCTCTTCACATCTGACATGTAGCCGTGCGTAAGACTGCAATGACAAAAAAAAAAGAATCTTTTCAATGCGCAATTCTGACAACTTTATGCATTAGAAATAATTTGAATGATAAAAGTATAAAGGGAAAAAAAGGAATAGATCATGGTGTTTATCATTCAAGCCTCAAAGTGACACACTAGGTTTGACCAACAAAGAAACTGGGACAGCTTTGAAAAATAAGAGAATAAGAACAAGAAAAAGACCAAAGAAGAGAGAACAAAATAAAAAAAAATAAAAAAGGGAATACTGACTGTCCTCCATCGGGCAGGTCCAAGCCCATGATGCGGTCATGGGGTTTAAGAACAGCCGTATAGACAGCAAAGTTAGCAGGAGATCCCGAGTACGGCTGGACGTTAACGCCCCACTTTTCCGGGTCCAAGTCAAAGGTCTCCAAAGCTCTCTTCTGACACAGAAGCTCGATTTGGTCAACCACCTCTGCTCCACCATAGTACCTAAAGCCAAAGATGAGAGACAGATTGGGGGGAAAAACTTTGATGTAACTGATTAAAAAAGGAAATTCTAAATTAATGTTTGTGGCTTTGTTGCTAACACAAGTCCCATTATTCTTGTTTGCAAAAAAGGAATTAATAGGAAAACAATTAATTTCAAGATGTCAATATCAAACTTGTTGACATTAATCTCTTTTTTCAAAGTTTGGAAGAAGTTTAACTAAATCATAGAGTGATGACTTTAAGACAGAATCATTGGTTTTAATTTGAACAGTTTTACTTTTAAGGGATTCTTGTTTCCTTCCTGAATACATCAAAGAGGGATTTGCAAAATTTATTTGAGTTTTTTTTACAGCTGCAGATTTCCTATTTTTTGTATTTTAAAATCGGTGATATAATCAACAGACGTCCTCCAAATATCACAATACTAGATCACTTTTAGACTCTATGTTATGCTAATAATTTTTAAGACCAACATCACAGAAAAAGAAAAGACTGACTTTGTTAATTTGAGATTTCCAGCTGCGGTATGTAAACCTACAGCTGTTGTACTAAAGTTACTTTAGCATCTTTCAGGCAAACAGTAGGCATCAGTGTTGTGACGATTAGATTTTAGCCAAGGTTTGGAATTCCAGCATATGAAGGTCCAACCTTCGCACAATGAAGAAACTTTTTTATTTTAATTCTCCTAACAGACTAAAAGCAACCAGCATAAGGAATGTCTATAATGAAAGCTATTAATGAAGTGTCTATTCATTTATAATTTCTAAACATTCTTCTAATAGTCATATGTGTCCTGAAGCCTGTGTCTGAGATTCATGAAAGAAAAAAGCCCTTTAACCTCTATATTTGTCTTTCTCCACCTATTAGCTAATGTTTGATCAAAATGCTCTGTTTAATTCCCCTTATGAAGTCATAACGGGAAATAAGCTGTCCAGAGTGGTCTGCAGCAGCCCATTGGTAGAGCTACAGCATCCATCTAGGGTATTATTTCATGCTCCTAGTCGCCATTTTTACAAACTCTAACCAGCTATCATGGTGGCAAGTTGCATTGGCGTTCAGGAGGACGGGGCGTGGAAAGCTAAAACAGTTCATCCAGAGGAGGGCTAAATACGGAGATTTCTGGTTGATGCTGTCTTTCCTTGTGGGGGAGGTTATGAAGCAGACTGAAAATGTTTTATCATTATCTCCCTTTTATCTCTACTTTCTTTTATCTTTTCTCCTTTTTTTCCCTGTTTTTCCTTTCCTGTTCTGTTTACATTGCAGTGTCCATACAATCTGTAAAACTCCCTGCATAATTATAATAAAGCAATTTATATGCATAAAACAAGCGGAACACTATGGCGATAGGCGTACTGCTCCTCTTGTGAAAGTATATCTGTTGGGCTCTTTTTGGCATCAAGACAATTATTGTTATTGCCACATTGCCAGACAGGACACTGTAAATAATAATAATGTGGGACATTAGAGAAAAAATCTCATCAGAATGTTTTCTCACTAGAACTATTTAGAAAGTGTTATGCGTCAATTAAAATAAAAATATCTTCCACCATCGGTAAACCAACAAACTGTGGATGTTTCAGGCTGGACATTTTATAGAAAGGTTTTAGCAGATTTGCAGGTGAAAAAGCAGCTGACTGCTTCATAAAAAAAAAAACACTGCTTCATTACACCGAAGTCTTCAAAAGCAGAGAGGATGAATGTGGGGTGGGTCAACACTTAGCTCTGAATAGATTTATGAGGGTTGTGTTCGAGACATCGAACCATTAAGGGTTTTACATCTTTAAAGCTTTCAATCTGTTGTTACTTTTCATAAATGCCAAAATGAAAACAACCCCAACACTAAAATAGATGAACACTCAGAAGTGTGACTATAAATATACCCAGCGCTCCCCGCCCCACTCGTCTTTAGTAACTTAGGAGAGTGGATTACTAGTAAAGGTATGTAACATGGAAAACACAGTAATATCACATCAGGGGCATGTTTGCTTTTTTTTTTTTATTTTTTTAGAGCTGCATTAAATATCCCAAAGCCCAGAATATATGTTGGTAAGCCGTGGCTAAGTAAACACTCACCTTCTCCCTGGGTAGCCTTCAGAATATTTGTTGTTCAGACATGAGCCCTGAGCCTCCAGAGCTGCTCGGCTGCAGAAATTCTGTGAGCACAACACACACACACACGCTCAGATCAATGATATGAGAGGATAGAAGGGACAAGGATGGCAAATTAAAGTCTGTTAAGTGATAGTAAGAAATCCCCCTTTGGCTAGAAGCAATCATTACAGTATTGAACCTGTGGACGTCCATAGACTAACACTCTACACTTCACAGTGTTCATCACTACACTGCTGGAGGACACAAGATAATGTGATAAACGTTAGTGCACATGTTGGGCTATATCTGTGTGGCATATTTGTTGTTGGATTTTTATGTTAAAATGCACTTTTAAGGAAAAGTGCTGTCTGTGTGTTCAGCTGGAAAATAAGGACAAAGCTTTTACAAGCAATCAACCCTCCATCTACATTTTTTAAACTTATTTTTTTTCACATCTAGGAAAGGAGATTAAAAAAAACATCAACAAAAAATAGAGGTTATAAAAATAAAATATTAGCATGTTGGTAATATTTCAGATTTACAGCAAATCCTAAGTCGTCCTGCTGTTTTGTTATGCCCCCATATCTCGTTTCGAATTTCATGACATGCAGCTGCATGGATGTTGTGTAATCCTAGAAAAAGACAAACAGCGTCTATGAAGGGGTTCTCCTAAGAATATGTTTCAAAATGCTGGGGGAAAAGCTAAAATATGACAAATGTTAATTTAAGCATACCTTAAGAGGTATATCTGTAATAAATTTAGACTTACACTTTTTTGTCTTTTTTTTTTAAACATAGCGTGTATGTAAAACGAATACAAAAGAAGACAAGAAGAATACAGCCCTTTAGAAATTTTCATTTTTGAAAGTGTAGCAGTGATAAAAGGTAAGCAGCAATGATCAATGTAAACCTACAACTGTATATGATTTACAGTCTCCAACATTTAGGGTTGTTATTTTTTTAAATAAACCTAATTTTATATAACATTCAGCGGTCTAATGGTGGTGGGGAAATAACTGTTCTACTCGAAGATTTTTTACTAAATCAAACCAGCCAATACTAAAATGTATCCATTTGAGTAGTTCTGGATTGAACATACTGACATCTTAAATGCAAAATGTTTACTTTTTTTTTAATAGTTCTGATATAATTACTGATCTAAGTGGGTTGCTCTGTCAGCTATAGGCATATTTTATAGGCTCTATACTCCATTTAACGATTAATCAATTACTAAATTTTAGGGATGCACGATATTGGGATTTTGGCCGATATCCGATATGCCGATATTTTAAAACTCATGTAGCCGATAACCGATACCGATGTTAAAGCTGGACAAATATAAGTAGTCATTGAAAATAGCAGTTTTTTTATCCATTTCTGACACTTTGAAAAATATTTTACTCAAATATATTTTCATATGCTGATATCAAATTTTACTTTCAAAATCTCGTGAAATTTCATCGTTCTGTTACAAACTTTCGTGATATTTTGCAAATTCTTGTGAGATTTTGTTAGTTAAATAGATCGATACCGCGTCAATATAACAACATATAAAAATATGGCAAAATTTCGTGAATTTTCGGGGTATTTCGTAGCATAACGATGACATATAGCAATATTTCATTAGTAAAAGAGATTGATATGGTGTTTTTAAATGGCAATATATCAGCATATGAACATATTGTGATATTTTAATGTATCAATATTTTTTCCCTCGTCTTTAGAAGTTTTTAAGTCTGTAAGTTTTTGAGGAAGAAGAATAAGTAGTATTTTTTTTTAGACTTTAGAAACTCAGAAGCTGATCAAATATCGGGTTAAATATCGGTGGGGTGGCCGATGTCCGATATTCAGTTTTAAGGCCGATACAGGCCGATGCCGATAGGGGGCCGATTATATCGTGCATCCCTACTAAATTTGTTGACGATTATTTCAATAATCGATTAATCACGATTAATCCAATTAATTGAGACAATTGAGACAAAGCAAAAATGGAAGAAACAACTCTGAAATAATTAGATCAAACTGTACATTTCATTCCTACATGTAAAACAATGCTGTTATAAAACAATACAAAAAAAGAAAAAACTGTACATCACACTTAAGAACCCACCCAGAATAGAGATGAAGACAGATGTAGATACAAGCCTAAGGCCTGACATCATCATGGAGGTTTTAATTGCCTGCAATACAACGACCCCAAATCTGTAAACCAGGTTTCCCTTCAATCAAATTAATGATCAAGCATTCGATTGTGTTTTTGTATCACAAAATCCTGACAAAGTGCCTTGTCTTTGGTTTTTCTATGTTAGAAAGTAAAACTGGGCTGCAGGGAATTTGGTGGCATTGATCACCACACGGGTTGCCATACATGCTTTTCTATCTTTTGTTGCTCTTCACAGTCATTATGATGATTCCAACTCTATCTACAGCTGAGTCTAAAGTATTCATTTCTGACCCCTTGATTATATGGACCTAGAAATGGAAAAATCACTACTTTGCAACTGATAAATTTTAACTACCCTTTTAGACCTTGTTTGAAGAAATTTAGAGTCTGTCAGGGCAAAAACAGACAAACTTATTCCCCACCTTTTGCTTTGATAGGGTGGTGGTCATATATCATATGCGAGTGGGAGAGTTATTTTTTCCTAAAGCAACAAAAAGGAGATCGAGGAAAATAACAGTTCTAGTAACAGCTTTCTGTTGCATCCATCTGTCATGTCAATAAATGTGCATATATTAGCAAATGAAAACAGTTTACTTCACAGCCTTTTGGGAGGTTGTTGGTTGGCTGGGTTGGTCACGTGTAAAAAATGTATGTCTTCTCATTCAGGCTGTGTCTGTTACTGTGCCATGCAGATTGAGTTAAGGTGGAAGCAGGATGAAGATACCAGCTTTATCTCACACTAGAGCGATCAGGCTTTGTGCTGAGAAGAGGCTGATATACTCCACTGAACAACTACTGTGGCAAGAAGAAGTGAGAGGAAGAGAGAAAGAACAACAGAAGATAAAACACAATCTCCCTTCTCAATAGTAACATTCTTCATTTCTCACCGTGGGGCTCTGGGCTAAAAGAGAAAATCTTTTTTTTCTAGGAAGGATTCAGACATTCATTTTAACAACAAGTTAAAATTCCTTGTTTTTACAATAGAACATTTGATTGATAGCTGATTATCTCACCAACAAAAAACATTTGCTCTTCTTAAGAGTTTGTGTGAACAGTTATATCACTAACTTTTAGCAAAATCGACACAATATTATAATTATATTAATTGACCTGTCAGGTTTTTCAAAAGAACAAAAAAAAGAATATAAAGAATAAATCCAACTGTGGTTGGAAACCATTGTGTCAGGTTTTCTTTCCCAAAATAAATTGTATAGACAAGTAAAGAAGTTTGCTCTCTTTATTGGTTCATAATCAAAGCTAATTGGAGTTTACATTTGGGTTTTAAAATACAAAATATGGAGTTTTGGTACAGAGAACAGAGAAAAGGCTAAAATGCCATGGGCCATAATGTAAAAGATAATATAAGGCTATCAACGAGATGTTTAACTAAAATCCCAGTTGGTCCAAGTAAAATAAATATAGTAAAAGCACAAACACAATAGGATGGTTATAAAAGGGAACTTAACAGTTAAAAAGTTTAAACGTCACCGTTACCATTTCTAGTATTAACTTGGATGTTATCCTAAGCGTACCGAGAACTACTGAAAATGTTATGCCAGATAACATCTGATTATCAACTGGCAGGGAATACAGTCATCAGATTTTTTTATCAGTTATCGAAAAAATTTGATTGATTAATTGATTTGCAAAATCATCATTAGTTGCATCCCTAAAACAAAGTATTATAACAACTAACGTCTTGAACCTACAAATCGCTGTACGCCGGCTAGGTAGCATTAGATAGCATGAGTTTTAACTCAGCTTTGTTTCTTCAGTTTCATGGTGCTCCATGACTTCCTTCTCTCTTATCTGTCAGTCAGCAGCCTTCTCTGGCTCTAGTCTTCTATGTTGATGACCCCACCTACCTTGGTGGGCTACTTGGCTCTAGTTGAAACACAGAGTTTGTGCAAACAGAGAGGGGCCATAAAAGAACAAGAGGGAGAAATGTCAGCCATTTGACTATTCTGGACTTATTTATAAACTAATAAATTGACACTTGACATGAAACTACGTTTTAGATGGACAGATATTGGAGCAGTGGTCTTTATCCCTAAAAATGATTTTATTATGGATTGGACAACACAAATACGCCAAAATGAATCAAATGAGTTCACAGCAATAAAAAAATGAAATTGAGCAGAGAAGAAACTGAAAACCTACATTTCAGAAACCCAAGACAGCAAGATTACTATGAGCAAAAGAGCTTAAGACAAGGACAGCAGATGATTAAATAAATGTAATATCTATGAACTGATCATTCATCTTTATTGTTAAAAGAAAAAAAAATAACTAAGCTTCTGTTTGGTGCAGGTCAGTGAAAAATAAAAACAAAAAATGTAGTAGGTTTGCCTTAAAGAACAGAGATAGCAATCATTACCTTTCTAGAACATGATGATAATGCATTTACATCAAATGTTGTGGAAAGATAAACCTCAGTGTAAATAGATCAGGTCACACCATGGATTTTTAGTTAACCAAATCAATCAGAACCCAACTAGTTAAACCTTCTGTTGCATTATGCTTGATAAATTAGCTATGATCTTAGTTTAAAAACTTTCAAACCTAGAATGCCAACAATCTATCATTTCGGTACCATGAAAAACAAATCTAAGATTTGAACAAAATATTTTGTGTGACAAATGAAAGCCCCTTTTATTACAAACTGTATTTCTGTTCATCTTTCAGATCTAAAATATGGATTTTCCCCTGAAACTTTGAAAATGAACAAAATATTTCCATACATTTTAGGAGTGCGTGAATAATTATTGTAACTGGAGAAAAATGTGTATAGATTATGGAATATTAAGTTTAAAATACCTCTGATGCAATGAGCTCCAAACCACGACACTGTCTGTCCTTCTCCTTCTGCAGCAGAGACCACATTTCTGGGTCGTCCTCAGCCAGACTCTCTTGTCCGGTCCAGGAGCCATCTTCGACGGCGGTACGGGTGGCTGCATGGGACTGCTGGAATCGCACGCTGAGGCGAGTGGAGGCCCGCTGGCACAAGGGCTGGGGGTAAGAAAGGAGTGAATGTTTGAGGGTATGAGCAAAATAACGTATGGAAAATCTACAGTGTGACAGTTTTAGAGACTCATTTTCTGAAATTGGATCAAACGGAAAGTAGGTCGTTGTTCATAAAGCCAGCGTGAAATACAGAAGCATTTGGAAAAATAAAATCTCTACTAATGCTATCAGTTACAATAAACATTTTTGGATGATCATAGATTAGGGCAAGTGAATAGAACATAAAGTATCAAGACTCCAACATTTCACATTTCAAAGCAAGACGGTACATTTTTTATATAAAAGGGTCTTTTCAAGTCTTCATCTACTGCGCTTCAATATGTAGCCTGGCACAATTAGAAGATTGTGTGTTTGCACGATATCAATAATCAGCACAGTTTTTTAATTATGCTTCCATCAGCACTTCTAGAACTGAGCGACTGACTTTAACTGCCTCAGTGTACCAAAAGGGAGGTATAGAGAGAACAGATTCAGCACTTCCTGCTTATCTAATCTAGACTGGGGCTGGCAAGTTCTGCTGCTGCAATGCCGGATCGCATAAGAGTGCAGAGACTTAAAATTTAACGGGTTCTTTTTAAAACATGAATCCTCCCACTGGGTTGAATTCTGCCTTCATTTCTCAGTTTTTCTTTAAATACTGCTTGGGCAGCTAGAAAACTTTCAGACACAGAAAAGTAATTAAGCTTTACTTTGATGCAATTATAATTCTCAAAAAGAAGTGCTTTATGGAGGAAAACATTAGGGGTTAAATAAAATACATGACTAGTTGATTGCATGAAGAATAAACTGGCTTTTTTCCTGACATTTAATCAACACTATTATTATAAGTATGCTTCGATCAATTACTCCACATCTAACCAGTAGTTATCATCTGTACAGGTGGGCTAGGTTATGAAGGACAGCCTCCGTTTTAATAGCATCATTAAAAAGTAATTAACATTATGCCCGGAACTAACTTAGGACATTCATTTAAAAAGAGCCATTATTCTCATCTTGAGTACAGGAAAATGCTGAGGGTACTTTACCTTCTCTTTATTCCCATTTAAACATGGAAACAACATAAAAAGAAATACTTTGAATTTTAAGGAAGGGAAAGTTGTTATAGAAGAGACACCTGATATATGTTTGTCCTTTTTCTTAGACATCAGAAAGGACACCCTTACATAGAAATGCACTGAGATTTCATCATATGAAGAGAACTTGCAGGTTTTCAGCTTGATTGGCCAGACCAGTGGAAAGCTAAAAAAAAAAATTTACCGTTTTTTTTTTTCTTTACCTTCGAAAAGCATCAAACGTTACTGCAGGAGGAAGGATGCTGAAAGAATTTTACACTGAAAAAGAACAAATTTAGGATGTAGAAGCATTTCCTTGATTAAAAAAAGGAAAACAAATTACATTTTATTTTCAGACAATGTTCAGTTTTTGCTTGTGACAATAAACTTAATAAAATTAATCAATACGATCAAATAATTTTTGGAAAATCATCCACCAATCATCCACCAATCCACACCTTGGGCTTTCACCTGCAAACATTTAGTGTGATATAATTTCATTGTTAAGAAACATGATTATTTTATAAGCAGGTTTCACAGCACAAATTGTTGCCCTTTAAACAATTTAAATTATTTAAATACAATATTTACAGATAAAACCACTATTGCATGGCTTTCTTTTCATATTTAGCATATACTTTTTATGCAATCTACAGAATAGAAGACAAATATAACGTCCATTACAGAAATATTACGGAAGCCAGAGATCAGAAATATGCAACAAAATTTTAAAAGATGTACCTCTGGCGTTGACATAAGGGTAACGTATTGCTGATTATTGACTTAAAACCGACTTTTCAACAAAAAAACAAGAGGCCATGAAGGCCCACCCCACCAAAAAAAGGTCACTTTTCATAAAGAAATTAGAGGAATTATGTAATTCTGACAGTAACTATCTTTTGCACTCAACATTACTAGGAATAAAATAAGCCAGTATTCCATCATTTACCTAAGAAACAAGAATGCTGTTGCTTGTTTCTAGCATCTTCCTTTCCCCTTTCCCACCTTCCTGTCTCCATCCTGTCCACTAGTGCAGCTAAACAAACGCTGCCATGTTAAGCGCCAATGGCTTCTTTATAAGGCACCAAAATAGAACAGCTCCTGGTTTCTACAAACAACTCGCAGGTTGTCCCTGTGATTCGCCTCTCTGCAGCTTCATTTCTCTGCCCTGATGATTACAGAAGATTAATTAATAAACACAGGATAAGTGAGAGCCAGGATCCAAGCACCAAATGTGTCACAGCTGGACTATTTTTAGTCGACAGGTTACGCTGTTGTTTGAAGGTGAACTTTATGAAAGCTCTGCAGTGAGAAAAGGGCTAGATTAGGCCACCATAACCAGGATGCTAATAAGACAACATCTTTGTGAAGATCAGATCAAATTGTTGCTTTTCTTTGTAAAATGTGCATCTGTAAAAAATAAAAATAGCAGAGGAAGAAAATAGAAACATTTTTTAATTATTCCCAGTTTTGTATTTCTTTTATCCATTTCATGCAAGTGGCTGAGCTGACTCAATTTTACAGATGGGTGCTGTCTTGCAGTGGCTTTAGCAAACAATAATTAACCTTGTAACAGAATGAAAACAAACAGGACTATAGGGGAACGATGGTAAAGGAAAAAAAAATATGTAAGAACAGAGAGAAGAAGAGCCAACAGGGCAGGAATCCATCAGTCTGATATATCGATGCCTCTTTTCTCTGTCACTGACTAATACCCAAACTGTCGGTTACAAATGACCCAGGGTGACACCAGACTGAGTAAACTGGATGGGGTGAAGAGGCACAAAGGGACAGAGGTTCAGCCCACAGCATCCGTGTTTGGATCAAGGGTTGCTTATGGTTAGAGAAACTTCTTGGCCAATATTTGAAAGGTATAGGTAGAGGAAACAACATTTTTAAACTTATTTAACCAGCAGTAGAGGAGGGGCTGATGAAGTGTGCTGCCTTAGGTGCTGATTCCTTTTCTAACCACACTGACCCCTATATGCCACACCCTCAGTCACTGCTCCGTCCTGTTCACGTACATTGTGCGGAGCACTAGCGCAGTCATTTTAATCAATGAGAATTGTTCCACATCCACCGCTTCTCCTCCGCACGTCACCGTCCCCGTAAGATTTTTCCGTCCGTCACTGTCAAAATATGGAGCCAAGCTATATTTTGCCGGCGAAGTCAAGATCCGCAATTGCATCAAACCCTGTTTTACTTTACTTTAATGATTTTGGGAATGCAAAGGGCCAAGAAGCATAATAAACTACTGTCCAAATCCACACTAATACTGCACATGGAATGTTGGAATTTTTATGTCAAAGTTGTCAAATATGACTTCTTTAATATCCCTAGATGGATACATTTTATTTCCTATATAGCAATTTAGTTTCTATAAAGAAAAGTGCTATTACCCTAAAAAAGCAACAAAAAAATGAACAGATTTCAACTGCAGCTAGAAACTAAATGAAAACTAACTCATGGATCTCATGAGGACAGGCTAACAGTGCACACGTGTACGAATCTTGTGAGTCTGTTCGGACTTGCTTAACTGATTTCCACTGATGGGGAAAGCATGCATGCATGTGACCTAAAGGCTTAATAGGAAAGAAAGACTCATGTCTTTCCTATTAATCTATTGACCTAAAGTCTAAATAGGAAACACAATAAAAGTAGATATAAATATATGCCACATAAAACTGACTAAACTTCAAGTAAAAAATAAAAATACACTATATCATACAGTAGGAGATTGCTGACAAAACTAAAACATGTTTTTAGACAACTATAAACCTTTATCTACTGCATAACAATATCATGGTAAGAGGTCATGTAGTCCATATTTTCTCTTGTTCATAGGAGCAGATACTATGCTCTATTGCACTTTTAACACTACTGGGAAAGAACCAGTAAATCATGGGTTCAATTTTTTTTATTTTATTTACATTGCTAACTTAAAGTCAATAAAAAGAGGGATATTTTATATCTAATCTATCTAAGGAAAATCAGTTGACTGTATCGACTCATTGACTCAAATGCAATCCCTCACACAAAGCATGCTTATAGTTATTAAACAGTTAAAATTACACTTAAATTGAACCCTCACCAACTCCCTCAGGTGCAGGTTAGTAAAACTAAAACATATGATATGAGGGGGAAAAAAATCTTTTTGCGTATTGATAAGGATAAAATAGGACCGGAAAACGAATCAATTTTATCAATTGTTTAGCAGTTTCAATTTCTGAAAATCAGATTATTATTATTTTTTTTTAAATATGTACCAATGCAGTCCTTCTGTATTCAGTTCTGATCCAATTCCAATATCTGAATTTGGAGATCCTGTTACCAGAAGTTTGGCTTCCTTTAATGTTATCATCATTACTGTTGACTTTTTAAGAGACAGTTAAAAACTCCTTTCTATGAACAAGCATGTTATTTATAAATGTGCAGATGTATATTTCAAATGGCAGCCTGAGATTAGCATAAGGTAAAATTAAGTGACAAAAAGACACCTATGGTCAACAGGACAAATGGCATCTTGAAAACACATACTAGGAAAAAAGTAGGGATATTGAATCTGATATTAACCCTTTATAGATCAAGTTAGCATTTTTGATTCTTGGCTTACCCCTTACAAATGGAGTCCCCCCCCCCCTCCCCCCCCCTGTCCCTCAGTGAGGTCTAGAAGCACAAGATCTATATTCAACCACCCAGCAAAGATACAGCTAAATGGCTGTACATCTTATTTGGGCATTTGACCAATTAGATGAGACCTTGAATGATATATGTTGTATATGAAGTTGGTTATGTTCACATCTTTTGTTTGTTGACTTTTTTTTCCCTTTTTTTTTTATGAATATGACTTGATAAAGCTGTTTTGAACATTTTACAATATAAAATAAGTAATAAAATCTGGTATGATTCTCGCTAATATCGTATCAAGTTAATATTGGTATTGTTTAATTCACAAAGCTGCAATATTTTTATTGTATCAGAAATTAAAAAGTTGTATTGGGACACCCCTAGAAACAATACACCATTAATGAGGTACGTTTAATGTTAACAAATGACTGTACAACATCTCTTTTTATCAAATTAAGGATATATAACAATAAGTTTTATCCTGAGTTAGAAATCTTGGTGCAAAAAAGTAACTGTAGATTTTGATGGTCTTTTGTCTGTTAATACTAGATGAAAGAGCCAGCTGCTTATCTCTGCTCAGTATATCACCCTGCTGGGTTACACCCCCTGCTATAAGCATAACAGTATCCTTCTTTTTTTTTTTAAATAAGCTAATCCAGCTAGGATTAATTCAACAATTGGACAAGTAACTAAATTGCATTTCTGGTATTGCCCTTTTTGCCTACATCTCTAGTTTCCACAGCAAAGACCAAATAAAAAGTAACTCCTAAATGTGCAGCAAACTTCAGGAAATTCATAAAATATAAGATATTACCACTAGGCTATCTAAAAGCAATTTAACTGATTTATTTTCTGCATAACATGACCATTTGTGTATGCATGTTCTTGCAGATCCCCCTCATGATGACACGGGACAGTGACTGTTGCATCATTACATGAAAGGAGCTACAGGCAAACTTAGTTTAGTACTTAAAATGGAAATGCTACTCAGCTATCTCACCTGATAGAGAGCAAAAACTTAAAATATCAACAGTGTAAACGGAATAAGGCAGAGGAGAGAGCTAGTTTTAAACATTTGAAGACTATTTTTATAGCAGTAACTTTAAACCCTGACTCTAAGTTGATACCAACCCATGCTGGCAGCATTTAGCAGCTCCCCTGTGCAGAAAGGCTAGCTTAGTTACACAACAAAAAACATCGCGGTTTAAAACATGACACACTGACAGACATGTTTTATAAAATAATAGTTACCCGTGTGAGCTGCTTGAGAGCGTAGGAGAGCATGTTTACAGCTCCAAGACCGGAGGGAGAAGCGGTGCTAGAGGCAAAGCTGACACAAATCCAGAGAGCCTCAAATTGTTGGCTACGGCTAGCTAGCCTCGTCGGACCGAAAGGGTCGATGGGTAATGTAGGCGGGTGGAAATTACATAAACCTTTTTCTTGTGTATTTAATATATTTTGTGAACACCTCTAAATTGACGTTTATTTACAGAGAACCTCTCTGTTCTTAAATTATATTTAACTATAATACCATGAGTGGAAATATACATAAAAATCTATATTTTTAGAGCGAATATGAAAGACAACTGTTTGCACTTACATCACTGTCTGGTTTATAGAAAAAAAATGTATTATTATTTGAGAATATTTTTAAAAACATGTTTTTATTTCTTCCTTTACATACAAATGCAAACAGACACATCCTGCCCAGACTATGCAGTTATTAAAGATCTTTCTCACCTGATTAGTAAACAGTGATTGATTACCCTTTGTCAGATGCCAGAGGGTAATCTATCAAAAGGCTCCAGGAGCTTTTGTTCTAAATGTAACAATCTATACTCACAGTTTAACACAAGGTGATTCATTGTTACACACATAAAGCTCCCATTTAGAGCAAGGCACAGTGCTGCAGAAATGGTTTTTGCCACAAACACATTTCTTACGTCACACTTAATCATTTAAGATTTTCAAAAGATAAACTTAAGATAACCTGAGTAAATCATGAAACAAAATCACCATTAACTGTGATTGACTATTCACTTTTTTGTCACATGAAGTGTTTATATCTAGATCTCTGCAACAGATAACGTCTTGATGTATAGAAATAATAAAAAAAAATGAACTTAAAACAAGGTCACAGACATCTATCAAACAGAAAATGGTTAAAAACCTTACCAAGGCTGTCTCTGAGATTGGTTTTACCAAAATAACTCTTAGCTGCTTTTATACTATCCAGGAGATGAGATTCCAGAGTAACCTGTACAGCACTACAAAACTCACCTACCTGAGGCAAGATCCATGTTCATGATTCAGCAGTAGGTGAGAACATCGTATTCACATTGAGGCCGCTTTGCTGCTTCAAAGACAGGATGACTGGTGTGTTTAATAGAACCATGTGTTTTGCTGTCTGTCTAAAAACTCTGAAGAAGAGTGTCCAACTTGAATTCAAAACCTTTTATATGGCAAGTTACAGTTTTTGGTCACTTGCGTATGCCTTACAAATGGAGTCCCCCTCCATCCGTCAGTGAGGTTTAGGAGCGCATGATTTATGTCCAACCATTCAACAAAGATACTACTATGTGGCAGAATCATTTTGGCACAGACCAATTAAATGAGCCCTTGGATGATATGTTTCATACTCTAAATTAAGTTGGAAAATAGAGTTAAGTTAAGAAAAAAGGTAAAATTCTAAGTGAAAAGGTTAAATAGCAAATTAAAAAGTAAAAAAAGTTATGCTAAAAATGTTATGAGCTATGTTAAAGATTACAAAAGTGCAAACTTTATTGTAAATATTGTGCTCGTATCAGCATTAATAATCTAAGGTTATTTGTTAACTAAACAAATGTGTTTTTTTATTCTATCAGTGTTTTTCATGAATTTCTTACATAAGAACTTTTGTTATTTTTGTTTCATATTAGGGCATATCTTGTCATCACACCGACCTTGAATTTTGCCATAAAAATATACATATATTGTTACAAAAGTAATAAGGTATTGTCCAGTCCTTCAATAACACTCTTATCCTATTTTTTTTATGTTCAAAGTATTTCATTGAGGGCTTTATAAGGGGGTTAAGCCAAAGCACTTTTGGGTTTCTCATAAGGATCACAATCCTAAGAAACCCCAACATAAGGAAGTTTTTGGAGTGGCCTAGTCTATGGGTCAGTGACCCCGTTTTAGACCAGGATTTGCTCTGTGTTCTAAAAGACCAAGTTGCTTTTGGTAAGAAGGCCTCTCACACTGAGATTTCTACCAGCTAACAGGCACTTAACCTTTCCACTGTCACCACATTATTGAAAGGCTGTATAGTGAAAAAAAACTGATACTAGTAACTGTCTTGTTTTATAATAATAATAATTGAATTTTATTGATCTCACATTGGAGTTTACCTCTTTAACCCATCCCCTTAAGGAGCAGTGGGCGGCCATTGTGCGGCACCCGGGGAGCAGTTTGGGGTTAAGGGTTTTGCTCAGAAACCCACTAGGCCAACAATCCCCTTTTACCTTGTTCCTATATTTTTAATCAGTAGAAGTAGTTGCAAAGTCAGACACTTCATGTAGTTAGGTGCTTTTGCTTATATTTCTTTTCTTCCCAACTGGCTTTATAGAATAACTTCAAGGATTAATTTCTGAATCTGAATTGTTTGTTCAAATGTAATTTACAATATATATTTGCATAAGAACTGGATTTTGTGTGTCATGTAATGTGCATTGAGATTAAATTCGTTCTGAAACATTTTTTAAATAAATTCAATTAAAGTGAAATTTTATTTTAAAAAATTGCTGCATTAAAGGTATAGAGGAGGATGTTCTTTTTCCGGGTGGATCATCAAAATAAGTGGTCCTATTAATTGTCAATCAATCTGGTGGTATGTTTACATAAGGCCGTCCTACTTGCTTGTCCCCTTTTGCACTTACTGGTGTTATGCCGAGAAATACCTGCCTGCAGAGAATTACCTCCCCTCTCACACACTAATGAGCAAACAGATTGAAATATGAACTAGAAGGGTACTTTTAGACATATTCTTAATGTTTTCATATTTCTTATGCATGGATGCCCTAAAATTTAGAGTTTTGGTGGACAAATAAATTCAAATGAATACGATTTTTAATTGCATGGAGACACGTTTTAGTCGATGTGCTACAGTCTGTCCAGTTAATATATTCTCTGCTCAGTGGATGGCATTTTCCGCTTTTGCTATCAACACCATTCTATATCGTTTTTGAATATGTTTCAAAGTTCCTTCCTCCATATTTCAATTTTCTTCTTATCAATGTGTGAGAGTTTAGGACAATGCACGCTCCCGTGACATGAGGAAATTCTTGGCAGGTAGGTATTTCTCGGCATTTATATGTCCAAATGGGCTTGTGAATGCTCTCGCACGAGTTTAACAGGCGTTCCTCGGGAGAGGGTTGGTCTTTTCAAAAATTTGCGAAAATCCTCCACCATATCTTTAAGGGACCAATGGATGAGGCAATTCAATTTGAAATCTCGGGAAATCTTGTGGATGGGTTTCCAAACTTGAAAATTCCACAAGACTAACTGCTAAACTTCCAACGTACTTTCAGAGGAAACATCTGAAGGAGTTATCTGAAAGTTTCTAAAAACATTAGTCATAGGAAACCTGTAACCAAGCCATCATGTTTTGCTGAAGGATCAATAAATGATTACACAAATTGTGAAAATCAGTTTGTAACTAACATTAATCATTTCTTCTAAGCATTTTTGACTTATTAGTATAAAGGGACAAGAGAAAGGAAATATTGATGATGTATTGTAATTGAGCTAACCTAAAGACTCAGCAAGGGATTAAAGTATTATAATAATCTATTTTTTAGGTCTAATATTTTTCTCACCAAACTGTAAGATATGTTCATCTTGAATCCATCATCTATTTCTCTAGATTTTAAAGAAGCTAAGTGATTAAAAGTCATGACATCCCTTTTGCAGCAGTCTATTTCTACAAGTATCAGCAGTTTCAAAAGAAGAAAACATTTAATCAAAACTGTTTCATGATTGGTTTCATGTTAAGATTTAGACCATAACCAGCCTCATCCAATATGTTTCAAAAACTGAAATAGTGTGTCTCTGCAGAAAGTTTGAATATACGTTTGTCACCAGAGGGAAATACGTCTTAATTCATAATAGGGGCTTTGCGGAGTTAGATAACGCTCTACACAGCTTGTGCCAACCAATCATGCTTCAAGCAATAAATGAAAACATTCAGTCAGTGAGAGACAGACAGTTAAAGAGATTTTAATGTGCTTCTTCAAACAGTATATTGTATGCACATCCAGCATAGCATTTCTCATACATATAACTCTCTTATATCTGTGTGTTGAAATGTAGAGCTGAGAGGATGATTAACAGTCAGTCTACCATAACATTATGTCTGCCACACAGTGATGGCACAGCACAGCTGCCTGAGAGGCTCAGTCTGTACTCAGAGGGAATAATACCCTTTTGGGCTGTTTTTTAACTGAATTCTCCAACTGCAGAAAGTAATAACACAGAGAAACATAGATCTAAAAACAATAAACTCTGCTGGGGATGAGTACATTATTTACAGAAAAGAAAACATAAAAACTAAGGTTAACAAATACAAAGTTGGAAAATATATCAGAGAAATCCACCGTTTCCTATACAATCCATAGCTCTGATTATACATTATTTATATCTGCAGTTCACATCAGTTCGGAGGGGAAGGAACCCCTGTGTCTCCATCATAATCAATCGTTTCATAGTCCTCTTAATCAATGAGATCGTGAACATTGTTTTTCTTTTCCTTCTATCCGCTTGAGTCTCATTAATTTATCCAAAATAAGGGCGCTCACTTTGGAAGTTGTAGTCCGGACACACTTTTTGAACTAGCTTGTAGTCGATGCTTAAAAAAGAGATGAAGATGCAGATAACCTTGAAGGGTTTGGCACAGAGCCAGGCAGCATGAGACTGAGTGTGCTCCGTGAAGCAGGTCTGAGATGGATCGTACAGGCAGGGTTTGGATTTCTTCGACCTGTCGGTTTTCTCGTACTCAACCCGACAGTTGAGGGTCTTCCCCTCTTTGGGGTCGATGGTGGCCTGCCGCGTCTCCTGGATCTGGACGTCCTGCTGGATGTGGGGCTGCAGATGCTGCTGTGGTAGAACCTCAAACTCCACCACTTTTGATGGAGGTACGATGCTTACAGACACGTTCCCAAGGCTGGACGAGTTATGGCGGAAGTAAACGGTAAATGTACCGTTGATGTGGTCCACAATCTTTCCTGTCACCATCAGGCTGAACTTTACGGTCTTAACGCTAAAATAGAAGTCTCCCCAGCCGAAAATCTTCTTAGTCTTCATGTTGGTCTTTAATGATGGCTTACGCTTGGAACGGTATCCAGTCTGATCCAGTAGCAAGGACTGGTTCCGACCTAAATCATAGGGGTTGAAGAAGTTGTAGGTTGGTGGCTTGGACTTCAAGGGTTTCTGGTCAATGGATGTAGAGAAAATGCGTGTTTGATAGGGAGGTTTCACAACTCCACCAGCTGTGCCCCCCCCCATGCCATAAGGTAGAGCCTTCATTACTGAGCCGACAGGACTCAGCTCTGAGAAGTCCACTTGCTTCTCCAACCCTTGGACCTGAAAAGATAAAAGAAATAAAGCTTTATTAACAATTTCAGAAGCCTAGTCATCTATTTTGCGTCTGAATGCAAAAAATATTTCATTATTCAAGATTTAGAACTGCTGTATAACTGCTGGTGCACTGAAATAGTGAAATATTGTATAAAAGTTAAATAAGAGTCAGTAAGAGTAATAGATAAATCCCTGTTAGGCGGATGTTACTCAGAATAAATGGAAAGTTTTCTCTCTAAGGGATGCTAGAAAAAATTAAGAAATTTGTTTTTATTTGTTTATTTATTGGAGTCTTTATTTCGAGGTTCCCAAACCTTGCTCTTGTTATGCATCTGGGCAGAACCTTTTTCTTAAAAGGTGTCTACCAACTGCTGTGTGATTAGCAGAAACATAAAGCATGAGAGAGCAAAGAGCACATTATGTGATTTGAGCCTAATCATGCTAACAGTGCAGCAGTCAATCCAACAAAAGTATTATAACTTTTTTTTAATAAATACAATTCTTCAAAACAGAGATTTATAAAACCTGGGAAAAGGTTCCACTTTCAACTTTTAGGGAGTTACAAACATCTTAGAGTTAAAGACTTAATAAACTCTTTATAAAGACAGTTAAAACCCTGACTACAGATTTTACAGTTTGAGCTGTTTTAAATGATTGAGATTCACTCTTGAAAGGATCTTGTTATGTGCAGTGGTTGGTTTAACTTCTGCTTTATTCCCACAGTCCAAAGGGTTTGCAGAAAGCCTTTGACTCATACTCTATTGGAGACTTATAAGCAACCTTGAACCTCAGTTAGAAGTGGGTTCTGATTTTAAGGATTGATGACTGCTCTCTCAGATATGTACCTGTGACCAACCCCACTTAAAAAAGGAAAGAAACCCTTAACCAACCCTTGTTTTAATTTTAAACCAAAGTTTTAAACCAAACCCAAAACTTTCTGAACTATACAGAATTAAAGCACAAAACATTTTAGATTGCAGATTAAAAGCTGATTCAAAAAGATGTTTTTTTGCTGCAGATCACTGACCAAAGCCAATGAGGGCCTTAGATACATTTCATTTTCAGCCCTTTGAACTATCAAAAAAAAAACAAAAAAAAAAACCTCTCCCCTCATTTTGCAAAGATACGATTATTATTTCAATATTGCTATATCTCTGGCTTACGGTTGAGGTGGCTCAAGTACAGCTCTTCTCATATCAAATGAGCTGAATCTGTAGTTTATGTAGCCTGTTTTGATATTATTTTGCACCCACATCTGTCACATGTACATGTTGTAAAAAGATGGTGATCAAGTTTGGCAACTTTGCTTTTGCTACAGGAACATTTTCCATTAAAAAGAACGGTTTTCTTGGGCATTTTAATGCTTCTCAATTTCCACCGTACTACTGGACTAAAGCAAATTACAAGCAGAGACAAGGGTGTAACTTTGTGATGAAAGTTGGTGGGAACTATAAGGGTGGTGGCTTATGCACCTACAGTTACTGAATGCAAACTGAATGCTTTGACTAGGTTCTTGTATTGTCCAAAAATGAACCCAAACATATTTATTTAATGCTTTCCCATTGCTGAGAATGCAAGATTATTAAAACACACTGACATTTATATTTATAGATAGACAGATCTCTCTAAGTGCATTATTAATAAAGTTCTCAGAAACATCAGCAACATTAATAAAAAAATACTATATATATAGAAAATACTAAAAAGAGCCAATACCAATCTCAACAGCAATATATCATGCATTATTAGTATGTACACAATTTCAATTAAGAAGACTGGCAATTTTTTACATAACAATGTATGTATGTACATATGTACGTAATCATCTGTCTGTCCATCCGTTCATCCATTCATCTGTCTGGAAAAATATGAAAAACTGAAAACATCAAATGTGCAAATTATAATTCCTAGGTATCAAAAACTGTTAAGCTGACATTATTGCTGATGGATGGATGGTTTCCCTTTCAGCTGCAACAGTGATTATCCTCCTTCACAAGCAGCAAAATCTAATTAAGAAAATTTCCCCACATATTGTTGACAGTCAGGTTTTGAAAGCTAGATTTTTTTCTCTATTGCTTGTGCTTCTTATATTTAAATTTTAAGAAAAATTTTAAGACTCTGGTTCTATTGGCGGCACAAATATTTCTGAGTCTTGCTGAATTGCAATAGACAAAAACATATGTTGCATTTCAAATATAGCATAGTTCTTTTCTTGTAAACTTTTATTGGATGTTGCATATCCCAGTAAATCTGTCCCATCTTTAAATCTGCAGCTGTCCCTGCTTGTGTCTCTGTTCTCTGCTGAAAAATCCATTAATGAAGCTGCCTACTAATATAAGATGCCAGAGAAACTAATTTTTAAGACTATTCTGCTTGATTTAAAAATCTCAGCAAGATGTTCATTTGGGATATCTAGAACCTCCGCAGTATGGTTCTGTTCGAATTGCTGTTTTTAACTGGTAAAGAAGAACACAACATATAAACGCAATGTTTTGTCCAACTTACTGCAAGACTAACTTGCCAAGAATAAACTTAAAATCTGTTGCTGTTTTGCTGTAAAAGCTCTGTATGTCAAACTAACAGCTTTTTTGGCGGCACCTATATGTTTAACCAATCTGTCTCTTAACTTTTACTTTAGCATATATCAAAGTAGCTGCTGGTGAAAAGTCACTGTGTGGTCTTGTGTGTTGTCTCTTCTCCAGTTGTGTACGTAGCTATGTACGCAGTAAATAGTGACCGGCAATCATGTTATTCATGACAACTCCAAGGAGGGACTCAGGAACAGGAGAAGAGAGAAAAAACAGACTGAAAACGCTCTGAACACTAATTCTGCCCCTCTGGTAAGAAGAAAAAAAAACCAAAACCCCAAAAACAAATCTCATAATTATGACTTAACTATGAGATTGTTCATATTTTTTATTTATATTTTCTTCAGAGTGGCAGAAATGGGCTTCCATAGTACACAGACAGCTGCACCCATCCCGAGTCACTGTTGGCTGAAGTAAATGAGTGGAAAAGAAAAAAAAATAGTGGAAACTATTAGTGTGGATCCTCCTCAGTAGGCCAAAGTTGCTGGGGACATCTCTAAACTAGTCCTGCAGAAAGTTACACCTGAGAGCAGAGATCAGAGAATGGATTTTGGAAGGGATATGGCCCTTTTTCATTAACCAGATACTCTTTAATGGAGCATTTTGTCAACGGGGATTTAATCATTTAAGATACTATTATTGATTATTTTTATTAATAATATATCATTATAATCATTATTAGATTATTAATATTATATTTATTATTATTAAGTATGAATTATTATTAAGATATTTTGGCTGAATTCGCTTCATAACATTTTTTTAAATCTTTTTTTTTTTGAATAGCTTAGATTTTCTGTAAAGATAAACTATCAGTTTAAAAAAATTCTATATCTGTCTACAGCTGTCTAAAGTGAAAGAGCCAGCAATTCCTTCATACAAAATAATATTTAAGGCTTATAAATCATTTATGCTCTGGGGTAGAAGTGAAAATAATCACAAACATCCTGGATCACTAATAAGACCTTTGAGAAATGAGACACATCTTCACTGCACGTGGTTTTATGCATGTTTTTGTCGTGCATCTTGGAGACACCTACGGAAGCCCTGAAAAGTAAGAGAAAAAAAAAAAATGTGGAAAAGAAAAGTTTGAAGTTTTTTTTTTTTTTTCCTGCCCTGAATTGCAAGAGAAAAAAAATCTGGAAAAGAAAAGTTTGAAGCAGTTTTTCCTTGTTTTATTTTCTGCCCAGAAAGCCCATAAAAAAAAAAATTTATTAACTAAAAGGCTAATTTTTCTGTTCTTGTAATACTTTATTCTACCGTTAGAGGTGTGTACATAATTAGACAGACAGTCACTGTTGCCTGCACTCTTCATTGGCCTTTCTGACTGTATAGTTTCAAGAATCAATGTCCCAAAAATATATTAGATTTTTTTAAAGTTAAAAAAAGATACAAATAAGGTTTAAAAGCTGTGTATTCTTGGCATTAGGTTAGCATATCAACCTTTTATTTTTATGAGCAATAGAGAATTAATTGCAGGGATGATCCAGCATCAACATCATACTGCTTTTTCTTTGGATCAAGACTGTATTTCCCAGATATCCTTAGACTTGCTGTCACTCAATGCTTATCATAAGTTAACTTAAGTTAGACATTGGTGTTGTAAACGATGTGGCAATAATTGAAATATGAATCCTTAAATTGTTACATTTATTTATGTTTTAGTTATAACAGCTTAATGTAACATTGATGGGGAACTTTTTTCTCCACAAACACAACGCCAGAAGAAAAAAAGTCCTGGTTTTCTAAGGCTTTTTTTTCCCACCATCACAATGAAAGAAAAAAAGACTTGGTTACATTTCTATGTGCTTTTTTTTTTTTTTTTTCTCCACAAACACAATCCCAGAAAAACAAAATCCTGTTTGAAATTTCTAAGTCATTTTTTTTTTTCTGAAACAAGAGAGGAAAACATTTTTTTTTACCAACTCATTTTTACTAAGTGTTTGTTTTTGTAATACATTTTCTGTCTATCAAAGGGATGCTGCTTTTATATTTCTTTACATATATAAGACAAATAACAAACAATGTATGATATTATCAAACTATTGAATATTAACCTCTCGAGACTGTAGACATAATCTAGAGGAATTGAAAACATGCAACACAGGATGAGACTTTAATTGAAATGCATGTTAGGGTTTAAAAGAAAATAACAATTTTGCTGTAGCCAACAAGTTTTATTTTTCTACTTTTTTTTTACATGTATAAGATCAATAGCAAACCATGTATAGTTCTAGTGTTTCCAGTTCCATTCTACCCGATTTACTCTATCAGGAAGAGCTGCAAGGGTCACCTCATTCCATTCTTTTTATACCTCACACTAATTTCATCTCCTCAGGCATCACAGTGGTTAGATCTTTTTGTCTCTCATATGCTGAATTCAAGTAAACAAAACCGTCTATTTTTGTTAACACACTT